TGCCACCCCGTCTCTCCCCCCTCACCCCGACCCCTCCCCCCAGAGGCTGAGCTGCTTTCCCAGCACACCTGTATCCAACCCGGGTTCCAGTCCTGGCCCTACTCCGTGGATGAGGTGTGATCTTAGGGAAGTACCTTAAACTCTCCGAGCCTGCACGTAGAAAGTGAGCCAAGGAGACCCGCTCCCCGGGCTGTGGTGAGGGCTCTGGGAGATGCCGCACGCGGAGTGCCTGGCTGAGGCCGTCAGTGCACGTGGGCCTCAGTGACAATTCCTGGCAGAGACACCGAGGGGCAGCAAGGCCTCCTTATCCCAGACGGATGGTGGTAGCCCAGGCCGGGACTCGGACCTACAGCAGGAGAGAGACCGGCTCCTCCGGGTGAGGGCCTGGTGGGGTGGCTGAGCGGCCCAGGGCTCCACGGTGAGGAGGTCTGTGCCCTGACGCCAGGCCTTGCCCTCCGACCCCCCAGGAGCTGACCGAGGCTCAGGCAGGGCTGCAGGCCCAGGCAGGGGAACTATGCAGAGCCCAGGAGCGGCAGGAGGAGCTGCTCCAGAGGCTGCGGGAGGCCCAGGAGAGAGAGGCAGCCACGGCCAGCCAGACCCAGGCTCTGAGCTCCCGGCTGGAGGAAGCCCAGGATACCAGCAGGAGGGTGAGTGATGGGGATGGGTGGGGACAGCAGCAGAGCACTGCCCCTGTGAACCCCAGTGTGGCCGTTGGGGGCCCAGGGAGCTCAGTGCTCAATGCTGGCAATACTACGTGCCTCTGCGCCCCCACTGGGGCTGGCTGAGGCCTGAGCAAGCGGATGAAGGTAGGGTGGGCCCCTGCCTGCATTCCCGCTGTGCCTGGCGGGGCCCGAGAGTCTGTAGCGAGGCGGGCAGAGGGGTGGGATGGAAAAAGTCAGCAGTGGCCGCCTCTGCACCTCGTCACAGCTACAGGCCCAGGTGGCCACCCTGTGCCGGGAGGTGACACAGCTCCAGAGACAGCGGGAACGAAGCACTGAGAAGGAATCTTTGCGGGTCAAGGTAGTGAGGTCTCACCCCCTTCCAAGTGGCGCTTCCCTTGGCCTGACCTCCTCCGGGCTCTCAGGGCCAGGCCTTTGTCCCAGGGGTAGAGTGGGCCATAGCTTCTCAGGCCCCTGCCCTGACCCCTCTCCGTGTCCCTCAAGACCATCCACGCCGCCTCTGAGACCAACGGCACGGGGCTGCCCGAGGGCGGGCCTCAGGAAGCGCAGCTGAGGAAGGAGGTGGCCGCCCTACGTGTGCAGCTGGAGCAGGCCCGTGGCCACGGGTGAGCCGGGCAGCCCAGGCGGGGCGCGGGACGGGGGCCTGAGCTGGGGGCCATCCCGTCACTCGCTCTTCCCCAGGCTGAGTGGGAAGGAGGAGGCTCTGTGCCGGCTCCAGGAAGAGAACCAGAGGCTGAGCCTGGAGCAGGAGCGGGTGAGCATGGCAGACAGAGGGCAGACGGACCGACGGGCCGTGGGACAGATGTGGGGAGCCGGCAGGGTGGATGGTGCAGGCCGCCAGGGTCTCAGAGCAGGCTGTGTCCCCAGCCCCGCAGCACCCGCAGGTGGCCGGCAAGCCATGGCGGGTGAACGGGGGTGGACGTGGGCGGGGCTCGGGGGTGCCGGGCCCCCGGGGGCTGACCCATCTTGTTCCCGGGCCCCAGCTGGTAGGAGAGCTGGAGAGGGAGCAGCAGAGCAAGCAGCAGCTGGAGGGTGAACGGAGGGAGACGGAGAGCAACTGGGAGGCTCAGATTGCCGACATCCTCAGCTGGTGGGTGCCCGGGGGCTGGCGGGGAGGGGCTGGGCCCAGGCAGGGCTGAGGGCTCAGGCCGTGACCCGGAGCCCCCTTCCCAACCAGGGTGAACGATGAGAAGGTCTCAAGAGGCTACCTGCAGGCCCTGGCCACCAAGATGGCCGAGGAGCTGGAGTCCCTGCGGAACGTGGGCACCCAGACGCCCCCCACCCGGCCGCTGGTGAGTCCCGGAAGAGCCCTGGGGGAGGGGCTGGCAGCAGCCTCACGTGGCAGGTGGGGACGCTGAGTCCACGGAAGATCAGTGACTCGCCTGAGCTCACAGCAGGATCAGGGGCCAGTCTAGGATGTTGAGTCTGGCCGGGTGGTGTGGACAGTCTGGCGGGAGAGGCCTCTGAGGCTGCCGGCCGCCCCCCCCCACGCCCGACCCGGGGGCATCTCACGCGGGCGCCCCCTGGCCGCCAGGACCACCAGTGGAAGGCACGGCGGCTACAGAAGATGGATGCCTCGGCCAGGCTGGAGCTGCAGTCGGCGCTGGAGGCCGAGATCCGGGCCAAGCAGAGCTTGCAGGAGCAGCTGACGCAGGTGCAGGAGGCCCAGCGGCAGGCCGACAGGTGAGGCCCGGGCCAGGCCCTGCAGGAAGGGGCGTGGGACCCACGAGGAGGCCTGTGCCAAGCCCCTAACCGGTCCCGTCCCCGCCCCGCAGCCGTCTGCAGGAGGCCGAGCAGCAGAGCCGGGGCCTGCGGCAGGAGCTGGCCGCGCTGCGGGAGGAGCTGCAGGCCCGGGGGCCAGCGGGTAAGTGGCCATCTGCATGCCCGTCCTGGAGCAAGTCCCCCACTCGAGCCTCAGGGTTCCCCAGGGGGTCCCCCGACAGCCTCGCGGGACCGTGGAGATGAGAGTTCTTGACTCTGCCGCTTGCCTGGCTCTCTGTCACCCGGCACTTACTGAGCACCCGCTGTATGCGTACCCACCGGGGCCTGCTGTCATTTCTCCATTTTACTGAGGTGGAAACTGAGGCTCCTGCCGGCCCCCAGTTCCCCAGGAACAAGCGTTAGGGCTGGGCCAGGGACCCCCACCCCCGGTGACCCGTGCTCTCTGTTTGCAGACACTAAGCCCTCAAATTCCCTGATTCCGTTCTTGTCCCTCCGGAGCTCAGAGGTAAGAGGGCCTGCAGGGGCTGGTTGGGAGGAGTCCTGGACGGAAGCCAGGGGCCTTGATTTCCACCCTCATCCTCAATCCCCAGAAGGATTCCACCAAGGATCCTGGCATCTCGGGAGAGGCTCTGAGGCCCGGTATGGAGCCCGAGCTGAAGCCAGAGGGCCGCCGCAGCCTGCGCCTGGGGGTGAGGACGGGCAGGAGTCCCGCATTTGGGGGGCCGGGCCCCGCCTTCTGCCTGTGCCCCCCTCACCTGTTTGCTTGCCCCTCCCCCCCCGCAGGCTGTGTTCCCCAGAGCGCCCGCTGCTGTCACCACCCCTACAGAAGTTCCTCCCGCAAAGGTCCGCACCTAGAGGGGCGGGGCGGGGTGGGGGTACCCAGCCATTCTTCCGGGTCTCCAAGGACCTGCTTGAGTCCCTCTACGTGCATTAGTCATGGCTGGCAGACCACCCTGGGGACAGCGGCAGTGGCAATGAGTCTGAGTGCTGTGACAGACTCACTGGGGCTGGGTTCACACTGCCACTGGCTCATTCTCTGGTCCCACCTGACACTTCAGGGTGGCCTTGGGGGTGGGACGCAGGGACCTGGGAGGCCATGGTCAGGCGTGGGTAACGAGCTTGTCTCCCTGTCCCCAGCCCGGCTCACACTCGCTGCGGCCCCGGAGCTTCCCATCCCCCACCAAGTGTCTCCGCTGCACCTCGCTGATGCTGGGCCTGGGCCGCCAGGGCCTGGGCTGTGACGGTGAGACCCCCCACCCCCACCCCACCCACACGCCTGCCTCCCGCGTGCCAGCACCCAGTCCCCTGGAGGACGGAATGAATGGCCCGGATCCTGGCACATGCAAGCCTTCCTCTTGGTCTGGGCCTCATCTCCCGTTGCTCAATTTTTGTGGTTTTTTTCTCACTTGACGGGGAATTGGTGACAGTCCAGGAGCCACCACAGCCTCAGGGAGGCGGGAACCCGAGTCCTGGTTCCAGGCTGTCCCCACCCAGCCTCACACCATCTGCCTTTCCTGCTTTCTCCACAGCCTGTGGTTACTTCTGTCACTCAGCCTGTGCCCCCCAGGCCCCGCCCTGCCCCGTGCCCCCTGACCTCCTCCGCACGGCCCTGGGAGTGCACCCCGAAACGGGCACAGGCACGGCCTACGAGGGCTTCCTGTCGGTGAGCTGGGGCTGGGGAGGGGGAGGCTGGCGTGGGCGGGCCGAGAGCCCGGCAGGCCCCCCCCATGCCTGCCTTTCCCACAGGTGCCACGGCCCTCGGGGGTCCGGCGGGGCTGGCAGCGGGTGTTCGCCGCCCTCAGTGACTCCCGCCTGCTGCTGTTTGACGCCCCTGATCCACGGCTCAGCCCGGCCAGCGGGGCCCTCCTACAGGCGCTGGATCTGAGGTGGGTGCCAGGCAGTGGCCGGGGACGAGGGATGCGGGTCGGGGGGAGGGAGGCAGCCAGGGGCAATGTGACCTCTGACCAGCTCCACGGACCTCCCAGGGACCCTCAGTTCTCAGCCACCCCCGTCCTGGCCTCTGATGTTATTCACGCCCAGTCCCGGGACCTGCCACGCATCTTTAGGGTGAGTCCGCCTCCGTGTGGCCCTACTGCAGCCCCTTGTGTCTGTCTCCTTCTCCGTGGCTGCCCTCTTCAGACACACACATATGCCACCTCGGTTGCCTCCATCCCACAGCACGGTGCACTTTCTGTACGCGAAGCTGCCCGCATCCCGCTGGCCTAGGGCCCTTCCGTGGCTTCCCATCACCCTCAGGGTGCTCCTGACTGTGTGCTTGAGGCCTCACATTTCTGACCCTGAGCCTCTTTCTGCTCTGGACACACCTTGCTTTCTCCAGTTCCCAAAGTGCCCTGTAACCACGGGCCCCTCACATCCTGTTTCTGCTGTGCAGCCCAGGCCAGCCCCCAAGCTTCTCCCCGACCTGGATCATTCCTGGTGACTCCCCTCATCCCTTGGGCACTGGCAGAAATGTCTCTTCCTCTGGGGGGCCATCTTTTACTCTTGGCCCGGGTTGGGGATGCCCCGTCCTTCTCCCGCCACGGCACTGGTTCGGGGCCTGTCTGACCACCCTACTCCGTCTGGCTTATCACCCGCTGTAAGATGGCTCCTAGCGCTGTGCCCGGCAGCTCACGTTGGTGCGAACAAGCGTCATCCGGTGGAGAGCAGGAGGGGGATGTCTGGCTCTCGGCCCACAGCCCTCCAGCCTGAGTCCCTGCCCACAGGTGACGGCCTCCCAGCTGACGGTGCCCCCTGCCATGTGCACCGTGTTGCTGCTGGCAGAGAGCGAGGCTGAGCGGGAGCGCTGGCTGCAGGTGCTGGGCGAGCTGCAGCGGCTGCTTCTGGACACGCGGCCAAGGCCTCGGCCTGTGTACACGCTCAAGGAAGCCTATGACAACGGGCTGCCCCTGCTGCCCCACGCGCTCTGCGCCGCCATCATCGGTGAGCCACATGCCGAGGGGGGCATCGCCCTGGGCGTGGTTCTGTGGGCAGCCTTAGGTAGGGGGCGGGGGGCTTGGCTTCTGCCACTCCATTTCTCTGTGCCTCAGATTCTGCTTTTTCTAAATGAGTCTTGAGTGAGTTGAAAAGAGCAAAGGCTCTAGCAAGAGACAGATGAGGGTTCCAGTCCCGGTGCTCTTACCGGCAGCAGGGTGGCCACAGGGAGCCTGGAAGCAGCCGAGCCTCACGCTGTCTCCTCTGGGGAGACCTCCATGATGACAGCCGGAGAAGTGAGGGAGCAGTGCCTCCTGGCTTCCCCTGGCAGTGGCCGGAGCCCCGAGCCAGCGCCTGCCCTGGAGAGCTGGGGCCTCCCCCTGCACTCAGAGTGGGAGCCCCACGAGAGACTGTGGCTCCTCCAGGTCCTCTGTGTCAGTCGGGAGCTGGGGGGATGAGGGCATTTATTGAGCAGGGACCGCTGTGAGCTGAACACTCACCCTGCGTTGCTTCAGCCTCAGAGCAGCTCTGGGAGAAAGGAACCATTACTGTCCCCACGTTACGCGAGGAGAAGCCAAGGCTCTGAGCGGTGACATGACTTACCCCGAAGCCCACAACTCAGGGTGGGGGCCTCTCGCCTGTGGGCCTTCCCCATTAGAGCCAGCCCAGACTTTGAGAGAGAAGCGGCCAGGGATGCAGGGACAGCGGGATGGCCATCCCTGTGTCCTCAGGAGAAACTGAGGCTCGGCAAGGACAGGCGGACTGCCTGGTCTCGGGCTGCCAGATGACCTCCCTGACCCCTGATTCTCTCCCTCCCTCTACTAGACCAGGAACGGCTTGCTCTGGGCACCGAGGAGGGGCTGTTTGTGATCCACCTGCACAGCAACGGTACGGGCCAGGGTGGGCCCGGGTGGGGGTCAGCCCCGGGGGGAGAGAGGAGGATGGGCACGGGGCTGTTGTTCACCCCGCTGGTGACGCTCTCCCTCGCCGACCCCGAAGACATCTTCCAGGTGGGCGAGTGCCGGCGGGTGCAGCGGCTGGCCGTGAGCCCCACCGCGGGCCTTCTGGTTGTGCTGTGCGGCCGTGGCCCCAGCGTGCGCCTCTTCGCCCTGGCCAAGCTGGAGAGCGCGGAGGTGGCGGGTGCCAAGATCCCCGAGTCTCGAGGCTGCCAGGTGCTGGCAGCCGGGTGCATCCTGCAGGCCCGCACGCCCGTGCTCTGCGTAGCCGTCAAGCGCCAGGTGCTCTGCTACCAGCTGGGCCCGGGCCCAGGGCCCTGGCAGCGCCGCATCCGTGAGCTTCAGGCACCGGCAGCCGTGCAGAGCCTGGGGCTGCTGGGCGACCGGCTGTGCGTGGGAGCAGCCGGGACCTTCGCACTCTACCCGCTGCTCAACGAGGCCGCTCCCTTGGCCCTAGGGGCCAGTCTGGTGCCCGAGGAGCTGCCACCATCCCGCGGGGGCCTGGGCGAGGCGCTGGGCGCCGTGGAGCTCAGCCTGAGTGAGTTCCTGCTGCTGTTCGCCACGGCCGGGGTCTACGTGGACAGCGCCGGCCGCAAGTCCCGCGTCCATGAGTTGCTGTGGCCGGCAGTGCCCACGGGCTGGGGTAAGGCCTGTGGGGGGTCAGCTGGGGCGGGGCCTGGCACCTACGTGTCAGAGGAAGACAGGGTCCTCCCGCCTGACCACACCCTGCTCTGTCCTCAGTGGATTGAGCCAGATATTCCTCTCCCATGTCCCTGCTCATGCCCCTCCCCCAGCCTAAACTGTCCTTTTTATACGTGGCAAACTCTTAACCAGGTCCAGCCCCAATGCCGCCTCAAGGCCTGGAGTTGGAAGGCTCTCCATAAATGACCACCATGATTTCTGTCATCGTCATTACTGCTCTCATGCTCCCTACCCCACCTTCCCCCCGTCCCTGGCCCTTTGTTCCTCTTTGCTCCCCGACCTCTGTGTTCAGACCTCTGCCCTGCTGCTCTTAGCACCTTCCTATAATGACTGGTTTGGTACCGGGGCGGGGGGCGGGGAGACTGCAGAATGGGCTGGGCCTGGTTTCTTCAACACATCCTGCACCCAGCCCGGGGAAGCACACCCTAGGGGCTACGAATGTTTGGAGGAATGAATGAGTAAATGAATGAACGAACGAACAGGGCAGTGAGGGAGTCCAACACATTCACAGGTAACTGGTGTGGTGGCGTGCTGGCAGACAGGGACCGGGCTCCCTTCATGACCGGCGGCTCTTCCGGCGATGGGCCTGTGGATTGGGCGTAGCGCAGACGCAGTCTGTGGGAGTGGGAATCAGACTGCCCAGGGCCAGTTCCCAGCTCTCGCTCATCACTGGGTGACCTTGCCCATTACTTAGCTCTGGGGTTACATTCCATCATCTGTAAGTTAGGGATGATGGTCCTACCCGCCCAGAGTTGTTTGAGAAATAAAGGGGAAAAAATACGCCAAGTGGCTAGAACTATGCCCGGCATGCGAGTGCTCCAGGACTGTGATCTCTGATTTGTTGCGGAGGTTGGTTGGGGCAACCTGGAGTCTTCAGAAGAAGGTCCTCTGGTTGGGTGTGGAAGTTACTGTGCTGTGGCCGGGCACAGGGTGTTTCCGTGACACGGAGGAGGAAACAAGCCCGCGGAGGTGCCTGACTTGCCAGGGGCCGCACAGCACAGTGTCCTGCCCTGCAGGTTATGCAGCCCCCTACCTGACAGTGTTCAGCGAGAATTCCATCGACGTGTTTGATGTAAGGAAAGCAGAATGGGTCCAGACGGTGCCACTCAAGAAGGTGAGGGCCTGCCCAGATCCCCTGGCCCTGGACTGGGGGGGTGCAGTCGAGCAGCGCGGCTGACCTCCGTGCCTGCCACCTCAGGTGCGACCCCTAAACCCAGAGGGCTCCCTGTTCCTCTTTGGCACGGAGAAGGTCCGCCTGACCTACCTCAGGAACCGGCTGGCAGGTAGGAAGTGCGTGGGCACGAGAGTACGGAGTGTGTGCGCGTTCGCGGGTGCGTGTGTGACCCTGAGCTCCAGCTGACGGGGACCCTGGGGACTTGTGAGCACCGTCCGGCTCTCTGCTCCTCCCACAGAGAAGGACGAGTTCGACATCCCCGACCTCACTGACAACAGCCGGCGCCAGCTGTTCCGCACCAAGAGCAAGCGCCACTTCTTCTTCCGCGTGTCGGAGGAGCAGCGGCAGCAGCGGCGCAGGTGCGCGTGCGCGGTGCGCGGCGGGGCGAGGGCTCGCGAGCTGGGGACCGGGCGAAGCACGGGGGCGTGTCCGTGTCGGGAGAGGGCGGGGGAGGCGTCCCCTTCGCCGCCGCCCCTACTCTCCCTCCGCCCGCAGGGAGTTGCTGAAGGACCCCTTTGTGCGCTCCAAGCTCATCTCACCGCCCTCCAACTTCAACCACCTGGTGCACGTGGGCCCCACGGACGGGAAGCCCGGCGCCAGGGATCTGCCCACGGTGAGTTCTCCGGGACCAATCACAAGCGTCCCTGGTGAGGCTCAGCCAATCACCGACCTTTCCGAGACACCTGCCCCAATCGCAGCCCCCTGCTTCCCTGGGACCCCGGACCTCCGCGCGTCTGGGCTGGGGGTACCCTGCGGTCGCAGCCCTTCGGTACTGTCCCCCAGCAGGCTCCAGGAGGGAAGGGCCGAGGTACCCGCGGCTCCGGCCCGCAGCGTCCCCACAGCTTCTCGGAGGCCTCGAGGCGGCCAGCCTCCGTGGGCAGCGACGGGCTCACTGGAGACGCGGACGCCAGTAAGGACAGCCCCGCTGCTTCCATTGCCTCGATTTCCCTCCCCAAAGTTTACACCCCCTTTGGACTCCTCAAATGTGACCTTGGATTTTTGTCCCCTTCCTCATCCTGCTCCTGGAACAGTGAAGAGGAAGCCTTGGACCTCTCTGTCCAGTGAGTCCGTGTCCTGCTCCCAGGGATCTCTGAGCCCCGCAGACTCCCTGATACAGGTGAGCCGGTGGGGGCTTGTCCCTCCTCTGTTAAAGGACAGGTAGTTCTGTTCTGTGCTAGGCCCACCTCTGGGACCTGAAGCCAGAGAACAGGCTGAGCCCATCCCCACCCTGGATCCTAAGGGAAGCAGACTCGCCCCACAGTGGGGCCCCAACAGAGGCGTAGAGGCAGGTTGGCCTAGGTGGAAATTTTGGTTCTGATGTCCCAGGCATGTGGCCCTGGGCGAGATGTCCAGCCTCCCTGAGCTTATTTCACCTATAAAATGAGGTTATTATTTCAGATTATTACGTAAGTGATGGCTGTATGAGGTGATGATTACTTCAGCGGGGTGCCTGGCACATGGGGGGAGTGCCACCGAAGGGGAGCTCTTTAGAGGCCCAGCCTGAGGTGGAGGGATCAGAGGAGGGGGGAAGGGGAACAGGGGAAGAAAGACGTAAGAGGAGCTGGGAAGGCTCCCATGCACCCTCCAGCCACTTCCCCACCGTCACCCTAGCTTTAGCCACACCAAACCACTCCGATCCCCAGGGACTTGCCATATTCTTCCACACCCTCAGGCTCTTGCCCCTGCCGTCCCCCCTGCTTTGAATGTCCTTCTATTAACATTCAGGCCACCCTCAACGCTCTGTGCTAATACTGTCCTAGGGCCTCCCTAGGGCCTGTGCCCTGCTCCCTCCACCTCTCCGTGTCAGTCCTTCTGTGCTGTGGCTTTCTTCTGGATACTAGCCCTCCTCCCCCAACCGCGGGCTCCTTGAGACTGAGGTCAAGTTTGTCTTCGCCTAACATAAAGCATGTTTGTTGGTTGATGAAGAATGGAGTAAAGTAAATGAGCAAAGGGACTTCGATTTGGGCTTAAGGGATATTAAGTTGGAGCTCCCCAAGTTCTTCTCATGTAGCCCTACCCCGATCTCATACCTCCTCCAAGGGCTTCCCTGCAGCAGGTGATGGGTCGGGGGAAGACCTCTGGGAGGCACTGGTCTGGTGAGGAAAGGGTCCTTCCTTCTGTTTCCCCTCCAGGTCTCAGAACGGCCCCGGAGCCTGCCCCCAGCCCCTGAATCAGAGGGTTCCCCTTGACACCCTCTGGCAGGGCCCACCCCAATCCCAGGACTGAGACACATGAGTGAGCAAAGAGCTTGAGGAATGCCATGCTCCGGCTGGCCCGGGATGTGTGGAAATTCGGACTCAGGAAAGGCCTGGGCTGGACAGCGACTCAGAGGCTGGCCTGGGTTCCCAGGACCCAGGAGACCTGACTCTGAGCCATCGTCCTGCCTTTCCCCTCTGCTCCCGGCCCCTACCTTTGCTAGCCACTGGGAATAGAATGGCCCCCTTTTCTGCCCTGGGGGCCCCTCTGCCCCTGGAGTCCAGGGGTAATTGTGCCAAAGTTCTCCTTCCCAGTGTCAAGCCTCAGGAAGCCTTAAGCAAGAGTCGGGGTGGGGGTGGGTCTCTGGCGGCAATCTGGGGTCTTGGCAAGGCACTGTCCAGCCCCCAGGTGAGGCCGAGGTGGGGCATATCACAGCCTCTGCTCAAGGTTGAGGTAGGAAAGACAGACTCTGATCCAAAGGAAAGGAGGATGGGGTGCCTGGCCGGCTCAGTCAGTAGAGCCTGTGACATCTGATCTAGGGGGTGTGAGTTCGAACCCCATGTTGGGTGTAGAGATTACTTAAAAATTAAAAAAAAAACTTTTTTTTTTCTCCAAAGGAAAGAAGGATAGACAAGGAGCAGGGAAGATGTAGGTGAAGGAGGCTGTAGGTGAAGAAAGTGAGAGAAGGAAGTAGAAGAGACAGTGCCAGTGGCTGGCAGGAGGAGGAGGAGGAGAGGGAGGGGGAGGAGCAGGAAGGGGAGGAGCAGTGAAGAGGAGCAGAGAGCGGATGGGAGCTGGGGGAAGAACACTACTGATAGACTGAGGGGCCTTTCTCTCTGGGGAGGAGCTCGGTGGGGTTGGGAACAGAGAGGGGCCCTGTGAGCCAAATGACATTGCATCTAATCCGCCCGG